CCATTAGAGGACAACTCTGGAATACCAACTGTATTCCCACTGACAACACCACAATGACAACCACCCTCGCACTGAAACAATCTTGAAACAAATGGTTGGGTCCGTCCAGCAGGCGAACATGCACTCCTTTATGCCTTATTCTCGGCAGGGGCATCTTTCAAAGAGTCGAATTCTTTGATAATCTTATCCTTTATATTGACATCATCCGCTGTCGTCTTATTATCATCAGCTTGATCCTCCTCATCAACACCGGCTACATCAGTAGAGTCCTCATCGTCGAATTCGGACAAGTCAGTGATGGGATCTGTAGCATCGTTATCGAAGCCGCCAAACATATCATTCCTTGGCTGAGGCTTGGTAGTCTACATATGGGATACTCCTATAGAATCTAGTACAGGGATGCTTACGATATCTCTCATCAACTCGTTAGCATCGAGAACGACTTCACCACCAGCTAGGTAATCATTGATATACCAGGACCTGGGAGCACTACAACAATACGGCATTGATGGCAATACTCACGTTAATTGAACTGCGTCGAGAGGGAATCTGTCATTGACAACGTCAACAGCATCTGTGAACTCCTTGGGAAGGAGCTTATAGTCTACTGTACTGTAAAACTCTGGTCTACGATAATCTGGAAGTACACTAAGTGAAAGGCTGGAGGATGGTACTTTACCATGATCATCGAGCCATTTTAATAGATGGTCATAAGAAGCATGCGTAATGGTTTGCCATCCCAAACTTCGTGATGTGAAGCGACTAAAGCTCTTGGCTGGGTCCACAATGGGTGCTCCCTCCAGTGAGACATAGTGAAGCACTGTTTTAGTGTCCTACGGAGGACGTATTCGATCATAATCCTACCACAACAAGACACCTAAGGTACCTCATCATCAGTAGTGGCTAGCTCCTTCATGGTAGCATCAAAGATAGAGGTCTTGACTAGAGAATCATAGGGCTCAGGCGAGGCTAGCAGTAGATGTCGCACTCTCGTCTGAAAAGAGTGCTACCTTGTATAAAGAGCTGCCTGTTGACGATACTTACTTCATCTTTAACTGTCGTACGTTCAATGATACTCGACTCTTCGTTTGCTACGCTTCTTATCACATCCAATGTCTCATCCAACACTTCCATCAATTTCTTCTGACCCGAGGGCTCCAAAAAGGTGAGAGCGTCCTCAGCCAGAAGCGGCAATTCGTACCTGAGGAAGGGAGCATTGCAGATAAGCACGTACTAGAGAAGCAACTTACTTGCTAGCAGTATCCCCCCGATTTAAGAGTCTTCCTAAGCGCATCCAAGCAGGCCTTGTGACCATCGGCCCAATGCCTGCACCTTGGTCGTTGGCGATGTAACGTCATCATCCG